AATAATCAGGACATTCATTGATTATAAAAAAAGTATTTATAATTCAATGTTTTAAGATTTTAATAGTTTACTAACTAAATGATCATACACTGGTTTTAATTTGATTATGTTTTGTTTTAAATAATGAATATTTGTTATATGCGTCATCTGAGCTCTGGAAGCTTGCAAACAAATTCCATATACAATATCTCTAATATAGGACACATTCGACAACAGAAATCTGAGTCAGATTAATTCTTTTTCTATTTGAACCCATCTATACTGTTTCACCGGGAAAGAAAAAAACAACAACTTTAAAAAAAACAAAAAAAACTTAACTGACAGGTTGGTCAATTTCCATTCAAAAGAAAATTTATACAAAATACTGGGCAACTGTAAAACATGCAACATCTAGTGATGCAAGTAAATACTGAGTGGAGTTACACCAGTTCAACTGCTGCGCTTGAACATTTCATGCTTGCTTAGTGCCATCTTGTGTTCAGGAGAGTCAACTGTAGGACAAAACAGATTTCTGTTTAATATTGTAACTTTCTAAGCACTTTGAATTGCCTTGTTGTTGAAGGGTGCTATAGGCTGCCTTGCTTGGGCAGTGTTTTAACATGTCTGCAAAAGTCATGTGATAACTTACATGCATCCTCTCCACCTCTTCCTTGCACTCTCTCTTCAGCTGCAAGAGGGCGGCCTGGTGCTCTGTAAGGAGGCAGAACACGAACACCTGTATGACTCATTCTGCTGGCAGTCTGATCAAATAAATATATGCTGAAGGCTATCAGTTCAACAATCACAGCATATTGTTATGCTCTACAGACTAAGACAAAAAGATTTATAGGTTTAGAGCTGTGATTTTTCCTGAAGACAGATTAGCATGTTAAATCACTATCAAGCTAATCTGCAAGACAAGACAACCCAACCAGATGTACTGGCATTTAGTGGTATAATTCTACAGATGGGTGGGTCACTTACACTATAAAAGGACCATATTTAAAACTCAACTAACCAGTTTTAAACTATGCTACTGTCAGAAATGTTAGGCAAAATGCTGATCTATTGGTATTAATAAACATGACGTGTGAAAGTAAAAAAGATCACCCATTGGTATCCTACCGTACCAAGTTACACAAAGTCTTGTCACCTGATGGCAAACTTTCATTTCAATTTACCTAAAGACTAGGCTGAGTTGGGGGCTCATTTTTGCATTTGTGAGTCCTAATTTCTATTTAGAATTACGACTAAAATCAAGACCACATAAAGACGTTGATCCTGTTTGGGACGTAGCAGACTTTCTATAGACCCACACCTAAGCACTTTGTTGGAATAAGTAACATTGTTAGCAATGATTAATCTGAGTCATGATTAGAATCAGTTAATCTTAAACAAATGATACTACTGTAATTGTACTTAGTCATTATTGACACCATTTAATCAGTACCATAAAAGTGCGGGAATTAAAATATGATATGATATAAATGTGTTGGTTTAGACTTTTGCTCTGCTTCTCAAATTCCACACACTGTTCTCTTTGACAAGCGCAAAGCCCGATCGTGGAGCACAAATCACTAGAATAATCCACAATTGCTGGTCTTATTCTAATCTCAGGGATGAAGCGGCACCACACAGAACATCCCAACAGCTGTTGCTGTGCACGGTACGCTTTTAGTTAACACAATTTCATTGTACCCAGAACATGAAATGGCTTTTATACTTTGCAGTTCAATCAGCCCATGGAGAGCTGTGTGTGCTTTAAACCTATCTGTTTGTCATTACATCTTTGGATTACGAGGTGGGCCAAATACCTCGTATTCCTGCTGCCCAGAATTCCATTAAATGTTTTCACCTCTCTAACATCCACACGTGCTATCCTGTGGAGCTACGAAACAGCAACACACAAACAGGAGCATTAAGGTGCAGACACAGCCTCACTGTGTTCTTAAATGGATTTAAAGGATGTCTTACACCCTGCTGCTGATACTTGGCTAGCTCTGCTTTATTTGCCTCAGAGTCTTAGAGGGACGTGTGGTGGCTCTACTTTTGTTTCAGTGTTTTTATAAGAGATCCATTCCAAAATACCAGGATATAAATACCATGATATCAGCAACGGCCCTTATCCACAAAGCCCATCAGCGTGAGGTGTGTCTGTGTAAGCTTGACTGGCATGATCCTCTGTCAGCATTCCTGGTCTTAGATGACAGACAACAGTGTCTAAAGCAACAAGCTTGAGGTTCTTACCTGCTTCGGTGTATTTGAGTCCCACCTTTTCTTCCTCATCTTTAGGTTTGGGGGGGGGCCACACAGCCTGCAGACGCCCTGGAGTCCGGTCCTCACTGTCTGTAGGCGACGTGACCTCCGTCTGTGGGGAGGAAAAACATGCAAAAACGTCATAGCAATGATACATCATCTCCCCCTATCTTTGCACGTAGCACTTACAAAATCATATATGCTTTATCTTGTATTGTTTTTGTATTATTGTCACTTGGGTATTATTGTCTTTACACTTGTTAAAGCACTTTTTTAACTTGTTTTTGAAAAGTGCTCTACAAATAAAGATTATTATTATTATTATTATTTCATACATTAGCCTCTGTGGGACTTTTGAGTTCTTTGCCAGGGGATTTGGAGGTTCTCTCAAAAATAGACCGCAGGTTTTCCTTGTCATTCTTGATCTTCTTTTTCACTGCCTCCAGGTCCACCTTTTCTGTTTTTTCTATTTTGACAGTTTTGGGGCCAAAGATGTTCCTGAAGGTTTCATAGGCCAGGTCTGAGGTTTTCTTTTTTTCTGGTGGGGATGTGAGGGTTCCTGGGCCTGGAATTGTCTCCCCCACAACTTCTTCTCCACTTTCTTTTTTGCTGTGTTCAGGATCAGCATCCTTTTTGGTCTCATCCTGGTTGTCTAGGTTGAGCAGCTGACTGAGCTGTCCCATTACAGTGCTTTTAGTTTCTGCAATGGTTTTAGGCTCAGCATGTTTTTTGACTGGAGTGGCTGTCTTCTGCTCAGGGAAGAGCTTGGCTTTGTTTACCGTCTTCTTCAGGCTGAGCAGGGCCAGGTCAGCATCCTTCTCTCTCTGCTTGATCTCTGACATCGTCTCCCTGTCATCTCCTACTGCTCCTTTCTTCAGCACCCGTAACCCACTGAAGAGAGCCGGCATTTGGAAGGAAGGAGGCGAAGAGAGTGACGTGCCCCTGGATGGGGATGAGGTGGAGGAGGTAGAGGAGGGGGAAATAGATGAAACTGGAGGTGGTGTGTTTCTCTCTGGTGTCTTTGTGGACAATGGCGTGGGTTTTTTAAACCCTATAGCGTAATTTGTGATACCAGCTTGGACTGCAACTTCAGGAGTCTTGGGGCTGGATGGAACAGAGGAGGACACCTGGCTGGAATAAGATTCCTCAGTCCCCTCATCAGTCTCAGCCCTTTCCTCACATGTCTCCTCCTTCTGTGTACTATCTCGGTGCCCTGTATGCTTCAAAGGAAAGGCTATAGCAGCATTTTGACCGGCAGCCTCCAAATCCAGATGTCCGGAGATGATGGAAGAAGTGGGCAGAGAGCAATCTATGCCAGCATACTTTTCTTCATCCATTCCCACATTGTCACTACTTTTCTCACTAGCAGCACATGTTTCTACATCCACAGACAATGTGGTGGTGTTCTCTTTAGGACTACAGCCATGTCCGTGTTTGGAAACTGAAGAGATAAGTGCCGTCCTAGATTTAGTTCTGCTGGTGAGTCTGTCTGAATATAGAATAGCTTCTATGCGGGATTTCTCCTTAAGGTTGTGTGTTCTAAACACAGGCATTTGGTACTCTGCCTCAGCCTTACTGGAATCTTTTAGCTTATCTCCATCAACATGGTCTCCTGTATAATTGTCCTCATCAGGTAGAGAAGGCCTACTGGTCCTGGTAATCTTCTCTGACAGACCAGTGCTATTGTTGGCCGCCTCCTCATACTCATTTTCTGTGTCACTATACGTTTCTACTCTTGTGACCTGGACCACATCTGGGTCAACCGAGGCTCCAGCTGCTGTTTTTACTTGGTTATCCGACTCCTTGTGGGTTTCCGATGATTCATCCCACTGCCCCAAAGCAGTCATATTATCCTGATGCATATCTTTCCTCCCTTGAAGTTTGTTCTCACTGTTAATAGTTTGACCACCTTCAGGAAGAAGATCCTCCACATCTGGTAGCTCCTTGAAAGACGTCAGTATAGCCGAGTCCGTGACTGAGGAGGCAGATATATCCCGGCTGAAAAAACTGCTGAAGACATTCTTGATGGAACCAGGGGGCTGCTTCCCCAGTTCATCTGAATTATTACTGTCCATAATTGTTCAAAGTGTCACACCAACTGAGAGCAAAGAGAGGCAAAGCAAAACAGGTAGCAGCTAGTGTTCAGTGAAAATGTCACAAAAGGTTCATCTCCCCACCTTCAGTTATCCAAGCTGCTGTTATTCCACCTATACCGCCGAACAAAAGGCCTTTGTATGGACAAATCTCCCCAGCTCTCTTTTCCTTCTCCAGATGGATGCCAATTCTAACAACACTATCCTGTGTTCCTCTTTCGTGACACACAAACAGGTTGCAAATAGTAGACTTTTATAATATCACATCAAGATACTACTGACTTTATGTTGTAAATTATAGTACAGTTAATTTTTCTCTGTTGTAGCAAGATTCCCATGACGGTGGAAGTGAAGTCAAGCTGTTCAGCGGCTGGAAGCATGGCCCACTATAATCTCCCTGGGAGAGCAGAGTTCACCTGCCTTTCACCAAAGTATTTCCAACTGTTCCGACAAGTTAAGCGGTATTATCCATAAAGTTGTAGGTTATCCTTCTTTATGTGCTGGCATACAGTCTGTAGTCCATGATTAAACTGTTCTTCTAGTTTGGGTCTGTCTTCCTTAAGTTGTCTCTCAGTTAACAGGAAAACCCTGTGTGCTGCTGTGTGAGAAAGAAATACCTCAGGTTGGGGGTGTCTCACTGGTCTACCCAGTCTGGAGACGCCTCCCTTCAGGTACCTCCCTTCCTGGGAGGGGACCTGCAGAGCCCGGCACCGCAGGTGTCTGATTACCTCTGCTCACATCCGTAAAATGGCTGCCGCGTAAACACAGAGGAGGAGTCAGGCTGTGGTCAGGTGGAAACCTGCAGAGGTCCATTAACCCAGCATTGCGGTGAGCTGCTGCAATACAGGGCTTACTTAAGTGATTAGTCAGCCAGGCCATAGCCAGCTCTAGCTAACATGCTAACATGTGTTATAAGCATAGACTGTATATAAGGTTATAAGCAGCTCAGGAGCACAAGACAGAAAAGGGCTTTTGATTCACTTACCTTTAGTCTGTATGAGCACCGACAGTTTTGATTCAAACTGTAAGTTTGATTTGGGGACACTAAGGGGAAAAATTTTGGAAAGTTTGCAAGCTAAGCTAAACTTAGCTAAAGTTTACAAGCTATCAACAGGGAAAGGGGATTACCTAAATAGTTTTTATGAAAAAATAAAACAGAGAGAAACAACCTCTGTTTTGTTTTATAGCTTATACTCAATTTTACCTGTCACAGGTTTTTGTATAAATGTCAAGAAAGTGGTTAGGAAAACACAGCATTCTTCAAACTGTGGTTGCCCTTAGCAACCAATGTTCACTCTCCTTGAATGCACTCCTTCAGACTGCCTGGTTGAGCACTGTCTAAGCTGAATCTACCAAAGGGCAAACTTCTGGAAGACTGTTTAAAAAGAGCTTTTCAGATGTCCAATTTAATCCAGTTTGACTGCCATAAATGAAGCATTTTTAATGCTATTGTCTCCCCCGACACAGGATCAATGACTGGTAATTGATTGTTTTTTTCCCATTAAGAAATCTTCCTGGTGAAAAACAGGATGGTACAAGAAACACAACAGGAAGAAAAATAGAAGAAATGGACATTTTTTAAGACGGTGGTGGTGGTGACATTGCATATGGAAGTAATGAACCCAGCAAAAGAACTGCATGAATGAAGTATTTATTTGTCACTATAATGAATTGTTGGAAATGTCTTACCAATAGAAACCTATGTGAAAAAAAATATTAATAATTGCATTTTCCTAGGACAGGTGCTTACTTTCCCTCCCCCCTCTCAAATAGAATAGAAAGGAGGCTTCTGTGGCAGAGGAATTAAGTTATGCAAGAACAATGGTATTTCATACACACACTGTAAATGTACTAGAAGAGGCCCCTCTGATCAACTAAACTGTGATATGAACACAGGTCTGACACATATGAACTCAAAAATAGAAGAAGTGAAATTAATTTACAAGTTGCAGATCATGTTAACATTACAGATGTAAAAAATATCAAGTCTAGCCCACAGGCTTTGATTGTGTCATCATCACAACCTTCTGCATTCCATGTTACAACACACTTAGAATACATCATGTACAATAGAGGTGTGTTTTTTTCTAATGATAATGGATGACGGTGATGATAAAGCCGTGCTGGAGTCCAGTATGTGAGATGGTTGTCACTTTCTCAACAATACAGAGTGCCTAATTCTGTACAGCGTGGCCTTTGTGCTGGTATGTTAACTTGTTATGCTCACAGTCAGGGCAGTTATTGTGTCTTGGAAAAACAACGCTTTGCTTTGATACACTACGCCCCGTAAACCTCACCCAGGTAATCTGCCACATCTGCCACAAGGATATGCCTTTGCCAGACAGCATGATGGAATCTGGAAAGACTAAGTGATGGAACAGTTTTTCACATTCTATTAGATGATTTAGAAATGCAGAGAAGTTCTTTATTGGCACTAGTGATTAGCATTATTAAAGCCCACAAACACCTTGAAACAAACAATACATTGTTTGCTGCAGGCTTATTTTTAGAAGACACAAAGACTGTGCAGTAGGATTACATCAGTCACATGCTCTGCGGCAAACAAAGTATCTTGTGTTGCTCAATAACAGGAGAGATCAATTATACTAATTATTCCTAACAGCCTGCGCCGTTGAAATTTAGGTTTAAAAAATGCTACAAGAGAAGGAGAGATGGTCTTTGCTCTGAACGAAAGAGATTTGATTGGAATGATCAGTCAGTTTTGGCTTAAGACCCCAGTCTACAGATTAGAATCCATGACCTGTTAATCCATTTCTAAGAATTCTTGATCAGGTGATTAAATGCCTGAGTGGAGAGAAATCCCTACCAGTCCCATGAGGTGGAAAAAAGGAGTGCTATGGGTGTGAAAATATGCATTCCAGCAAATTCTGCTGTTGTGTTTGTGCTGCTCATGTGTTAGGGGCCCTCACCGTGCACTCCAGCTTGGGACAGTAGGGTGTGTCCCCGATGATGTCATCCTCGGGCGGTGTGATGCGTAGGAAGTCGAGGTGATCAGGGCGTGGAACGCAGGAAAGGGGCTGTGGATCATCACCATCCAGCATCCAAATGTCATCCTGACGCATGAGGGAATCCTCTACAGAGACACACAAACAAACACATGACCACAGGGTAATTAAGGCTCTTGTATGTGTTGCAAGGCATGGATAAAAACACAACAGCATAACAGGTGTGATCATGTGTGACAAGCCCAAATAAGTAGCACTGACAGAGGCATGTTGTTTTCCTGTGTAACCTGCCCAGGTAATAAAAGATGGAACGGGGTAGAAAGCAGGCATCAGAATCTTTTAGCATCAAACAGGCAGAGAGAGACCCCTGTTCTGCTGCAGGCTCGAGGGCGCACAGCTATTTTTATCTGCACTTAGCCGGTCCTCTTCTCATCGTCAACACCAGAAAAAAGCCACACTGATCAAATAAAGAAAAAGGGCTGCAAAGCACTGGCCTCAAAAACAAATACCAGTGTCTTGTATTAATTTGCATTGAAGACATGTTCACGGTAACACAGCCGGGCCACAGCGTTGCTCAGCCCTCCCACTGTACTATAATAAAGTCAGGTGTGTGTGATTTGTGTGAGCAACTGTGTTTAGTCATCCAAAGGCCCTGAAGGAGTGAAAATACAGGACTCCTTCATTTAGATTGGGAAACACTGCCCTCTTCTGACCAGACAGTCACACAGAGAGTTATGAGTGGGCTGTAATGATGAAGACTGCTGTGGAAACACAGCTAAAACAAAACAAGGTAAAAGTTGTTTTTTTTTCAATAAAAATTCCTCACTCTGTGCTATTTTTGCTGCAGTATGTTGGGAAGGGCGGATTCATTCTGTGCATTTCAGAGCATCTGGCCTTTAATATTTAGTGCTCAGTGACACACTGCAGAAACAGCCTCAGCCTGCACAACCTTCCTTGTGTGTAATGCCCTCAACAAATCACATGGTATTAACTTCAGGAACTGGCCTAGTGCCTCACTAGGCACAGAGCACAGGAAGATGATATATCTTGCCTTGATGCATGCATTAACTGTCTCAGGAGAGTCAGTCAAGCAAGTAGAAGGGAGGAAAAGTACAAGTTAAGAGATTTGGGGCAGGGACAGAGAGGTGAAAGAATAAGAAGGAGGAAAAGGAGGTGGAGAGAGGAACATTGTACGAGTGAAGGGGGCTGGGAGGGTGTTTTTTTTTTTTCTTCTGCCGGTAAGACAACACCTTGACCTGGCTCAATTGTGAGCTGGAAACTGAGAAAATCACTTAACTTCCTGTTCAATAAGCTGCTAATATATCACATAACCTTCGATTGTAATGAGTATCCTTGAAGACATACATATGGTATTACTCTTTTGCTGCCCTGCAGCCACTTCTAAAGACCCCAGCTCCCCAGAGTCTGAGTCTCAGCCAAATCCTTTAAATTCAGTTATGAAAGCCCACACACACACACACACACACACACACACACACACACAAAACTATCTGGGGGGCTTCATTAAAAAATGGAAGCATTGAAATTCTGCTTCAGTATTCTACCACAATCAGTTATTAGGAGACAGCAGAAATGCCTGCAGTCGCTACAGTTATCTGGGACTTAAGATTTGATTAATAACTTTTCATTATGATAATGCTGCGCCGCATGGTCCCGCAGTGGGAACTGCTGACTGTGGCCTGGCCCACTTCCAAATGCAGAGTAAAGCCCAGTCCTGGCCAAGGAAAGAAACTACTGATCAGAAACAGCTTTCTCCGCAGTTACTGGTTCTAACTAAATGATTGAATATATTAGAAATAAGCTAACAATGAACACCTATTGATATATGTTTGCTAATGTTTTGAGAGTCATGAAGTTCCCTCATGACTCTCAAAACATTACTATTTACAGTTAAACAACCTTAAGGGCTTGCTTGTGCATGGTTGCCTTTGCGCCCCAGATTGACAGCCTGCCAGTCACCTAATCAATATGTACAAGGTGGAACACACTGCCACCATCTGGACAGGGAGAGGAAACATCTGCCTTCCTGTGGTCAAACACACTGCAGTGAATCTCTGATGTCACTGCTGTGTGCTATGAAATAAGACCCAGTAAAATAATGCACAGCACTGCAATGTAATGACAGTAAACTGA